TATAAGTCCAGCCATCTCACTCTAGGGCCAGCATTGAGAATCATGTTCTATGTTGCTTCTAAAAATGTGTGGCTGGGCTGGAGAGATGGATCGGAGGTTAAGAGCACTGGCTGCTCTTGCAGAGGACCTGGGTTTGGTTCCCAGCACCCACATGGTAGCTAATGACTGTCCATAACTCCAGCTCCAGGGCATCTGATACTCTCTTCCAGCCTCTGAGGGCCTTGTGTGCAAGGATGCATTTATATACATGCAGGCAAAACACTCATATACATAAAACAAAAATAAATAAAAAGTGTGTGGCAGGTTGAGATGGTAGTGTACGCCTATAGTTCCAACACTTGGGAGGCAGAGGCAGGAGGACTTAATTTGGTTTACATAGCAAATTCTAGACCAGCCAGGGCTATACATTGAAATCCTGTTTAAAACAAAAGTGCACGGCTAAGGTAGAATAATCCAACCAGTTGAGGAGTCATGTGCCTCCAATAAGCATGCATCAGAAGGATTTTTCAAAAGGTAGGGGAGATCCCACAGCAGCTGCCTCTCTTTGGAGCTATTAGCTATTAAAGCCTTCACCTAGGTTGGATTTCCCTGGAACATGAGCTCTCATTCTCTCTTGGGGTTAGTTTTAGCAAGTCACCCCAGATTTTATTTTCCCTAAAAGGAAAGGTTCTCCCTGAGAACAATGAAATCCAAACACCAAAACTCATAGTCACACGTGACAATATGACTTTTAGTCAAGGATGGACCACATATTGGATGGTGGTCCCCTAAAATTATACACCTAGTGACATGCTTGCCACCTGAGTTTGGGTAAGCACGCTCTAGATGCTCTCATAATGAGGAAATCAATTAAGGACATTTAAAAACACCGCATTCCTTCAGGTTTATTTCCCTTTCACCACTGTAAGCACCCTTCAAAGACTGATAAACCTAATTTGACCAAATTCAAATAACCCCCCAGGCTTTATGTCTTTTCATTCCTTTCTTTAGTAATGTTTTCTCCCTTGTTATACAAGCAGGCAGATCTCTAAACTTTGCCCAGAAAGGAGTTAAGCTTCTGATGGATTAAAAACCAGCAAGGCTTTGATATGCATGGCTGAAATGCCTCACCCCAGCACCTGTTCTCAAGGAACAGGAAAGGACTTAGGTCTCCAACAATCCTCAAAGCAGACCACAGCAGTCCTGTGAAGCTGTAGGGTTAAAAGCCACAGGCACTCTTTTTTTTCTTTTTTTAATGTGTTATGCGTGTATTGCCTGCATGTAAGTGAGTACACCCATGTCGTGCAAGGCCCAAGGAGGACAAAGTCTGTCAGATCCCCTGGAACTGGAGTTACAGACAGTTGTTAGCTGCCATGTGGGTGCTGGGATTCGAACCCGGGTCTTCTGTAAGAACAGTGTTCTTAACCGCTGAGCCATCTCCCCAGCCCCAGGCACACTTAAATGCTGCAAAGCCTGCTGTCCTTGTGCTCCTTTTCCTAGAAACATCTATTAATTCAGGAGAGGACAGTCCTGGGACATGAGGTGCAGGCACATTAGAAAATAGAACAGATACAAGCACTATTTACTTTTAGGAAGCCCAACTCTCAGGTTTGTGTGAGCTGATAATTTATAGCTTGTTATTAGTCAATTCCTAAAGAGACAAAAAGCAAAGGGCAATTGATAGGTCACCAGAGTCAGAGGCGGGCAGGCAACACTGGCACACTGATGGGCAGGCCAAGAGCTACACAGCTAACAGTTCAACGACACACCTTTAAAATTGTTTATCATACAAAACAATGTGTACAGGTAAGAGGAACTCTAGCTAAACTACCTGCAGAGTCCAAATCTCTTCTGGTTTTAGTCTCAGTGTACCAGGCACAGCCAACCCCTGGAGTACTTGGATTCACTGAGGTACAGACATAACTGAGAGGTCACAGGTGATCTAACATTCAGGGACCAGGTAGATTTCTTTCTGGATTTGCAAATACTCAGGACTGTCCTTTTTATTTAAAGGTATATGCCACCACACCTGGCAACTGGCTTCGTTTTTTTTTTTTTAAGATTTTATTTTAAATTATGTGTATGTGTGTTTCTGGGTGTAAGTATGCACACACGCCCATGGAAGCCAGAAATGGGTGTTGGATCCCTGGAGCTGGAGTTACACGTGGTTGTGAGTCACCCAACATGGGCACTAGGAACAGAAATTGGGAATTGGGTCCTCTGCAAGAGCAGTATGCATTCTTGTGGGGTTTTTTTTGTTGTTGTTTTGGTCTTTTTGAGGCAGGGTCTCCCTGTAGCCCCAGCTGGTCTGGAGCTTACTATGTAGACCAGGCTGGCCTTGAACTCTCAGAGATCCTCCTGCCTTTGCCTCCCAAGTGCTGGGACTAAAGATGAGCGCCACCATGCCTAGCCTTGGGACTAGATTCTTAACAACCAACGTAAGCGCCACCCTGGCTAGCTGCAGTATGTGTTCTTAACCAATCTCTCCACCCCCAGGTCTGGCTTTAAGATCAATGTGAAGACAAGCAGAGATGAGAGTGTCCTGTCAGCTGAAATATTGCTAAAGAGATTTGCAGGGCTGATAACTGTAATGACAAAAATGTCTCTTCATATTTGTGTTGGATGTTAACAACAGAAAAAATGATTTCACTAAATATGATTCAAGAGCCATCTGATAAAGCCATTAGAGAAAAAGCTGTTTCTACACCTTAAAGATTCTACAAAATACTGACTTCAAAATACGTATCATTCTCTTAAAAAAAGGTGTATTTACTTCTCCCCCTACCTTGTTCCTGGGTCACTTTGGGAATAATGTAAATATGGTTTAAGGGAAAGAGGCTCATTGATAGGATGCTAAAACCACTGAGCTGGGTAAGCATGGTGGCACATGCCTGAAATTTCAGCACTTAGGAGGCTGCGGCAGGAGAACTTAGAGTTCAAGGCTGGCTGGGCTACTTAGAAAGACCCTGTCTCAAAGAGAAGGGAAGAAATTGTGAAGCCTTTTCCCTGCATGTCAACAGGCTATTTTTGTTCACTTATCTCACTCATCTTTTTTTTGTTTTACTAAATTCCTGCATACTAAATCATCCCTGTTGAGGTGCTTCTTAAAACCACATGACATGAAAGACATACAAATCTGTACACCATCCTCATTATTCTGTTTATATTCTCCCCACATTCTCATCAATTCTCTTTTCTCCACCCACAAGATTAGGAGCAAATATTTATCCATGGCATGTTTAAAACCCCAAATCTGAGAGCTATTCTCCAGCAGACAGCCTTGCTCTCAAAATACTGCTTCTGAATATGTATCTTCATCTTTCAAACACTGAGCACTTATCAGGAGGGTAAGGAACAAAAAGAGGTAAGACAGGAGGCCAGGCATGGTAGTGCACGCCTTTAGTCCCAGCACTCAAGAGGCAGAGGCAAGGGGATCTCTGTGCGTTCAAGACCAGTCTGGTCTACACAGTAAGTTCCAGGCCAGCTGGGGCTATAGGGAGACCCTGTCTCAAAAAAGACAAAAAAGAAAAAGAAAAGAAAAAAGATGTAAGACAGGAAGATGAAAAAACTTTGAAGATGGGGCAAGGTGAGGATGTGATGTGAATGAAAGAGAGGGAGCTTCTGTCAAGGAGGGTGATGGGTACATGGGACCATGAGAGGAAAGTGTGGACTCAGTCCACTTCCTGGACTCACATCCTGGCAAGGGTTGCAACCCATACAAGCTTGGGCCCCACTGACTGGCATGATGGTGTCTTTGGGTTGGAACAGGCCTTGTAACAATCTGGGAAACCAAGATAGGAGGGCAAACCTAGTTTAATACTATTTTTTAAATAGTTTTGTGACTATTCAGAACAAAAGTCACTTACTTGCAAGGTATAGTGGTGCATGCCTGTGCTAGAGGTCGAGGCAGGATTATGAATTCACATACAGGCTGGGCTGCATAGTGAGTTCAAGACCAGCCAGAGCTACACAACAAGACACTATCTTGCAAACAACAACAACAACAAATAAACAAAAAACAGTCTGGTAAAATGGATCAGCAGGTATTAAAGGTATAAGCCTGAGACCTAAATTCAATTCCAGAACCTATTCAAAGGTGGGAGGAGGGCTGGAGTGATGGCTGAGGTTAAGGGCACTGGCTGCTCTTGCAGATGACCTGGGTTCAATAACCAGCACCCACACAGCAGCTAACAACCATGTATCTGTAACTCCAGTTCCAGGTGATCCGACACCCTCTTCTGGCCTCTGTGGGCACTATACATACATTGTGCACTTACATACACGCAGGCAAAACACCCATACACATAAAATAAGAATAAATAGGTTCGGCATGGTGGCACATGCCTTTAGTCCCGGTACTCTGGAGGCAGAGGCAGGCGGATCTCTGTGAGTTCAAGGCCAGCATAGTTCAAGGTCTACGTAGTGAATTCCACATCAGCTGGGGCTATCCCGGGAGATCTTGTCTCAAAAAGAGCAAAAAATAAATAAATAAATAAATAACCAAAAAACCTCTAAAGGCAGAAGGTGAGAACCCACTTCATAAAGTTGACCTATGCACATACACAGTGGTATGTACATATGTGCCCCCCCATCATACACACACAAAAAATAAAAATATAAATTTTTAAAAAATTAAAAAAAGACTTTTCACATCAAAAAGGATGTTTAAGATGATCTCAGCTTCAGGGGTTATAGAGATGGCTCAGCAGTTAAGAGTGCTGGCTGGCCTTGCGGAGGACTTAGGTTCAATTCCCAACACCCACATGATAGCTAACAACCATTTTTAACTGCAATCCAGGGGATCCGATGCCCTCTTCTGACCTCCTTGGAGGTTGCACAACACAGGTGCACCTACTACATGCAGGCAATACACTCACATACATAAAATAAAAATAGTAAGTTAGAATATTTAAAAAAAAAAAAAAAAAGAAGAGCCTAGCTTCCTCTAAGCACAAAGCCATGGTGTTAAATCTGCAGCAACATTTCAACACTTTGTTTAACTATAGTCAACAAAGAGTTACCTTGGTGATCAACATAAGGCTTGAAGGCCTGAAGGATTTTTGGCACAGCCACACCCATGTCAAGTTCTGTCAGCGTTAGCTCATTCATAAAGTAGGGGAGCTAGAGAAAAGAAACAATGAGTGAAGACACATTAGTAAGTTGGTAACCATGCTAAGGTCAGTTAGAATTCAATACACTTTCCAAGGGAAGAGTGGGGAGAGTAGTTAAAGTGTTGGGGACACATCATTATGTACAAAGCACAGAGTGAGCTCTGAACAAGACAGCCAGTTCCTTGCTCTTGTGGGGTTTACATCAGAGCCAGAAACAGATAACTAAGGAGACAAATGCTACAATCTCATAAAGCAGGAACAGGGATGGAGGGAGTGTGGACTTGGTGGGGGGGGGTCTTAGCTAAGGAGGTGAGGAGGCATCCCAGAAGATGGTATTTGACCTGAGACCTGCCAAATGGAGGACCCAGAGTTGGAAAGGATGAAGAAGTGGAGAATAAGAAATTGCTACATTTCTTGGGGGTTAGAGAGATGGCTCAGTGGTTAAGAGCACTGACTGCTTTTGCTGAGGACCCGGGTCAATTCCCAGCACCCACATAGTGGCTAATAACTATCTTAACTCCAGTTCCAGGAGAATCTGATGCCCTCTTCTGACCTCTACAGGCACTGTACAATACAGGTGCACTTACATGCAGGCAATACACTCATACACAAAATTAAAAAAAAAAGAGAGAGAAATTGCTACATTTCTGATAGGCAAATTTATCATGTGTTAAAATTCTTGGCGGGGATCTCACACCCTTGACCCTGTGCTGGCATTATTCTGTCTTTCTCCCATGTACCCATGTTTCACCTGCTACAGGAGAAGCAGATCTCTGTGAACTGTGTCCATGGCGTCTCTCTCTCTCTCTCTCTCTCTCTCTCTCTCTCTCTCTCTCTCTCTCTCTCCCCCTCTCTCTTCTCTGTGTTTTTGGTCTCTGGTATAGCACAGGGCTTTCTCTCTCTCTCTCTCTCTCTCTCTCTCTCTCTCTCTCTCTCTCTCTAGCTTCAGGCTGTATTTGGCCTATGGGATACACCAAAGGGCAGGGCAGGGCAGGAAGAAGTGCTGTCATTTGTTCTTGCCTCCATGGAAGAGCTCCTGTGAGTCAGGCAGCTCTCCCCTCACAGGTACCCTGCTGAAGGACTGGGAACTGCTCTCTGCCTTTGGCCCTTCATGGACAGTCACAGCTCCCCATTTCTGCTGGTCCGGGAATACTGCAGTCTCCCCTTGGGTTTCTCTGTACACCCTCTGGTTACTCAACTGAGTGTGCCATCTGGTTTCTGTTGGATCTGACTAATACCCCCAAATCGATCAACAGGAATTTATCACAGAGGAAATAACATAATACTGGTATCATGCTCAGAAATCCTGACTAAACCTCAAGATTATACAGTGAACTCATCTAATACTTCTTTTGGCTGGACTTGTGTATTTTTTCAATCTTTGTGTTATCCATTATTTTAGTGTAACATTTAAATTAGAAATCCAATTTAATTTTTCCCTCAAATGGCTAGTGATGTCTATCTATTCACTGAGCAAGCAATAGATTCCCTACTAATCTGTACTGTTACCTTTAAATATAGATTTTTACAACACTAGAGTCTGTATTGAGTTTTTTTCTGCCAGTATCAAATTTCTCTTATTACTCTAACTTTTTAATACTTTTTTTTTGGGGGGGGGGCAGGATCTCATGACGTAGCCCAGGCTGGCTTTGAGCTCATGATCTTCCTCCTGCCTCAGCCTTCTGGGAGCACCACCATGCCTCACCACAATACATTTTTGTATCTGACACATCCTCCTTGTTTCTCAGCATTGTCTTACTTAGGGTATTATTAGTTGGGCATTAGAATAAGTTTGTTCAAATCTTAAAAAAACAGAAATATGAACTGAGTATTTCTCACAAAATGAGGTTGCATCTGGTTAGGTATGGATCCGCTGCCTAACTTGGCTGGACCTCTTCAGCTGCCTCTCAGCAGAAAAGGGTAAACAGTCGTGACTGATCAGTCAAGGAACTTCACCTCCAGTTCTTTACAAGGGCGAAGGGTTACATTAGAGAGATTCTGATGTATGTAATAGACGAGATGGAGATAGCATTCAATCACGCTGGTTGAGACAGGGTCTCATGTAGCCCAGACTGGCTTCAAACTCACTAGATAGCAGAGAATGACCTTGAACTTCTGACATTCCTGCCTCCACTTTCCAAATGCTGGGATTACACGTGTATGTGACCAGATCTGGTTTTCATATAGTGTTGGGACTGAATCTAGGGCTCTCTACATGACAGGCAAGCACTCTACCAACTGAACTACATCCCCAACCCTCTATCATGCATTTTCAGAATGGTGGTTCCTGTATTTGGGCCCCCCTCCCCGGCAAAGTATCAATGTAAGTATGGTTATTAACCTCTCTAACAACCTACAAAATATTACTTGGCCAAAAAAGCACCAAATTTTTTTGTGTGTGTCTTTTTTTTGAGACAGGGTCTCCCTGTAGCCCCAGCTGCCCTGGAACTCACTATGTAGACCAGGCTGGCCTTGAACTCACAGAGATTTGCCTGCCTCTGCCTCCCAGGTGCTGAGATTAAAGGTGTGCGCCACCATGCCCGGCTATCTTTTTTTTTTTTTAACATTTTATTTATTATTTTTATTTTATGTATATGAGTATATTGCCTGCATGTAGGTAAGTGCACCTGTGAGGTACAATGCCCTCGGAGGACAGAAGAGGCTGTCGGATCCCCTAGAACTGGAGTTATGGACAGTTGTTAGCTGCCATGTGGGTGCTGGGATTTGAACCCGGGTCTTCTGCAAGAACAACCACTGTTCTTAACAGCTGAGCCATCTCTCCAGCCCCGAAAGCACCAAATCTTACACAATTGCCACAGTGCTCTTTGTCTAATATAACTGTCATTCAAAGCCCAGTGTTTCAGGAACCTACCAGGTTAGAGAGATTTCAAGGGCTAGCCAAGGAACAGGCCACCTCCAAGTGTTTTTATGGGAACAAGAGTCTGACATGGAGACTCCTCTGGTCTCTGGTCTTTCAGACACTCACAGAGCAGCAGATCAGATGGAAGGGCATGGGTGCCGAGAGGGGACAAAGTCCTCCCAACACTGAACTCTAGTGCTGCTGGATCTAGACAACTTACTCCTGTTCTAACCTTTAGTCTCTCTGACCTCAAAAAGCAAAAGGAAGCTTAAGTTGGTGAACTCAAGAGCTTGCATGCCCAATCAAAGGAGAGAATATCAGAAGACTTTTCCTCAACTTCCCCTGGAATGAGGGAGCTTTCACACTCCCCTGGGGATGAGGCACCACAACTTCCCACTCCAGGTTTGAAGAGAAGCCTCTTCAAGGACCTTTGGAATGTGTGGAAGCTGATAAGCGTCCATCTGGAACTCAAGCATGCTCTGCTTTATTTTTGCTCCAGGGAAGCCCAGCTTTTCTGTCTCTGGAAAATGAGCAGGGGCACCCCCACCTCCATGCCTTCGTCTTTTGATCTAGGACTCCAGTCTCTGCCGTTTGCAAGGTGACAAAGAAGTTCAGTGTGCATGAGGTGGCTGCTGACATCTCATCCTTCAGAGTGGAGGACCTTGCTGTTTACTGTTCCCTGTGGATCTGGCTAGCAGGTCAGGTCAGCCCTCAACCCACCTTGAGGACAGAAACTTTTTTTTTTACTGGTGAGTTGAGGAACAGCAGATACTGGACTTCAGAGGGCCTACAGAGCTTGCCACAGTTCAACTAAACCAAAAAACAGTTCTGTTCATTGCCCAGAGGAAGGAGAGAAATCAAACTGAAGCTGCCCCTTCCCACATTTTTCTTCTACTCTAAGTTTACCTTAGCTCATGTTTTTCTTGACCTGGAGGCTTTGAATGCTCTGAAATCTCAGGCAAAGTTCTGTATCACCGTACATTTTTCTGGGGAAAGGATTTCTACTTCTCAAAGGCATCTATGATCCAAAAAAAATTCAGGGCCACTGATGTAAACACCTGATCATGGAAACTCTTGGTAAGGATTTGGGGACCAAAATGTTCTTCTTGGCTGGACCTTCAGCAGGCCAGAGACTTACTTCTAAAGAACCTCCATGAGGTCTCTTGGTAGGTGTGTCCTTTGATGACAATCACAAGGAATACTATGCAGTTTAAACTCACTTCCAAGTAGGTCTGGCCTAGCACCAGGAATGTTTCTTCAGCAAAGAAACAGCCCAATATATAGACATCTGGCCAAGAGCATAGCATAGATCAGCGGCAGGCAGACACATTCAGAGCCAACACGAATTATCCCAGCTGACGTAAGGAGGGCAATTCGAGAAAAGGTCTTAAGTAGCCCAAGATTTAGTCAGAGTATGCCAAGTGGGCTTGGCCTACTTCAGAGTTGGGTGGGTTCTGACAGACAGGTTATAATTCCACGATAACAAAACTACATAAGACAAGTCAGTTACAGAAGCTCACACTTTCCTAAACAAACTCTGGAGGACCACCTGGAGTCGATAATGACACAGCAACACAAGAGGAAAAAAAGCAAACAGGACAGCTGACTCAGTCCCCAGATACAGTTAGTCATAGGTCAGCCTGTGATCTAGGTCAGATGTGTTGTCCCTGCGTGGTATGTTTAAACCAAGGTGTTTTTTCACTTATGACCTGAGGGTACAGAACGTCAAGAAATGAGCAAGTGCAGAATCACAGGCATCTTATGTGAAAGTGATACCTTTATTTTGCTGAGTTTCATCTGGATTTTCTTAGACACCACATCAGACCAGTATTTCTCGCCTAAGAAGTCCCAAAATATTCTTCCAAGCAAGGCGTTCACCCAGGCTGCCTGTTCTTCCTCCTCGGAGGGTGGAGCCTCTGGCAACTGGCACAAGAAAAGGGGCCAAAATTAGCTGGAAGACAATTGGAGAGTAAGGCAGGTGCTTATTTTCATAAAGTCTCTCAAGGTCCCACGTGCAGACATGGTAACGCATGACTTCTGCTTCTTCCCTATAAATTACAAGTCCCACATCATGCTGGCAAGCAGAAAAGGGAGAAGCGAAAGCTGCTATCACGGCTCTAATCTTCTCTTTGTTCTCTTTTCCCGGCAGCCCTATGATCCAGCTAATATTCCACAGCATTAGCTCGAATGCTGTCCCCCAAATTAACTTGGTGTCAATGAACTGTCTATCGAATACCTGCCTATTTTTCTCCCAGCTGAGGCTTGGGCCTATAACTGCCAAGCCTGTCCTCATCCAGGAGGAAATGAGCTTCCCAATGGCTACGACTCAATTTCAGCCTGATCCTTGCAAGGTCAAGATAGTCTTGGGATGTTTAAAAATATATCGTCATACCTCTAGATACTGAATTAAGTGGGATCAGGAGTTTCTGATGCCCTCCCGCCATGCAATGAAGAGGCAGGTAAGAACCACAGGGCTGGATGAGAGTTTGATTCTCAGGACAGCAGTTCCCCCCAATCCTAGCCCAACAAACACCCTTATCAACAGCCCCCACCCCATATAATCTGTCTGAAACATCTGCTGTGGTCAGTGGATGAGCAAACCTGTCTCCAACTTCCTAGACTAGTTATCAAACTATGGAATCTGGTCTAGTGAGGATCAGGAGTGGGGATAGAGGAGGGCTGCAGCAGCAACATCCATGGAGGGGGTTTAAGGACTAGCACCCTGGTGGACTCAGCTTCTGAGCAGCACCATTAGTGTTGTTGTTACTGCTGCTGTCCACCACACCAACAACAAACTCCTCAGGCAGCCTCATTCATGCACCCCAGAAAGACAGGAACCCTGCTTCTGTTTGAGGGATGAGAGGTCTTTAGATCAGGAATGCAGCCTGACTTCTCCAGATACTCTGATTGCTCTGTCCTGAGGGGGGATGGCAGTGAATTAGACTACAGCCTTATAGGAAAAACAACAACAAAAAAACTTTGGAAAGAAAAGATGGAGACGCACAGAAATCTGAGAACTGCGCACTCTTAGCCTTTGTGATCTCTATAAACACATTGGGGCCGCCGCATGTGTTATGGCCATACGCTGTTCCTGTGTGCCTTGTGCTTGTGCATCTGTGTCACCATGACCTGGTCTGTGAAACTGTCCCACATAATGGCTGTGTACCTAGGCCAGTGACACAGCACACATATCACTTAGTGCCATGGATCTGACACTTGCATGTGACTGATAGTGAACCCCCAAGGTCAATGTCATGTATATACATGTGATGGTTCTGAAGCCTAGACTTAGGGTCTGACCCAGATGAGTCAGACATGGAACCTGATACAAGCCCAGGAGACTGCAAAGCACCCATGTCATATCACAGCTGTGCCAGCACTCTCTTTGAGGCCTTGGGAGGGGCTCATTCACATTTTTCAGTTACATGTCATAGCGTAGGATATGTTCTAGAAGTCCTACAAATCTGGATGCTTCCCAAGGTCTTCCTTATGAATGCTGGTGGCTCTCATTAAAAACAAAACAAAACATCAACCAAAAATCACCCTGGTTTAAAATAGATACATGCAGACCTTCCATTCAGAAAAGGAGGTTCTACCTCCCTCTGTAGACAGTTCTATGTGTATTTTCTTGGTGCTTTCCTGTCTTTGGATATTAACCAAGTCATGTTCTACCATGAGGTCCTGGATGGAAGGGCAGAAGTCTGCAAACACAAGTGTTAGTCATGCTGTAAGTTGTGCGTGTGTATGTGTGTGTGTATGCATGCACACACATACATACGTTTAATCACTTTTCTCCCTGTACTAATATCTTCAAGCCAAGGGTAATAGGTAAAGCATTTCTGAGGTTGTTAAAACTCCATCAGATTACCTGCATAGACTTCTAAGGAAACACCACCTGTCAGAGGGTCGCGGCCCCCAGGCTACCCTCGTAAAACCCACATCTTTTTTAGCCTCAGAGGCTACATAGAAGAGGTTACTTTTTCCCTTTGGAGGTGGGAGCATGTATCCTTTCTCAGACTTTCTTTATAATGCTCACTTTCACAGGAAACAAATTTCACAAAAAACAGCAAGAAACACAGACTTTTTCACAATCTATGTCCAAGCCAGCGGCACATGATGTGGTAACACTTCTGAAATAACTGACACACAGGTTGCTTTTCCTTTTCACCAGTTCCTATTTGTAATGCAGGCTCCTCTCCACAGCCCTGCAGGGAACAAAGGAAAACCTGAGAGCCACAGAACACTGACAGTGCATCAAAGAAGCTTCCAGAGCGAAATCTGGACTCAATGGGCTGCTAGGCAGAGCTCATTCCCAATGGCTGTCATAAAAATTTTAAAGCTGAAAGGATAAATGTGCATATATTTCCTACTATTGCCATTTGGCCACAGGGAGAAAAGCTGGGAGAATGTTCATTGCTCAGCTTCTTCCCACCACGACACAGCTTACAAAAGCAGTGTTTGGGGAGGCCAGCACTCCAAAACTCAGGTGAGGCCATCCAGTGTGGATAGCTAGCTCTTGGGGAGTATTTTATTTAAAACCAACTTCTACACACAAAGCGGTACAGATTTACTCTGTTGTGTGGGTAACATTCCTTATTACAAGGCTGGGGAGGCCAAGGCACCCTTTCTGCTTAAAGAGCAATGTCTCTGCTCCTAAGTTTGGTTGTGCACAGCTACTGTCACAAAGGTGTCACATGGAGCAGACACAGCAGGGCTCTTTCCTCATGTTTGTTTGCTTATTTCTCGATTTTAAAACAATGTGTACTCATCAAAGAACACGCGCAGAGTCATGTCATTTTTACTATGACTTTCTTTCAGTCTTTTCTTTCTTTTTTCTTTTTTTGTTTTTTTTTTGAGACAGGGTCTCCCTGTAGCAACATAGCAACAGCTGGCCTGGAATTAGCTATGTAAACCAGGCTGGTCTCACAGAGATCCACCTGCCTCTGCCTACCAAGTGCTGGGAGAAAAAGGTACATACTACAACACCTAGCTTTAGTCTTTTTTTAAAATTGTTTTCCCTTCTCCCCAGATAAAATCCTACTATGAAGACTAGGCTGGACTGGAATTTGCTATGCAGCTCAGGCTGACCTCAAACTAGCAATCCTCCTACTTCAGCCTCTTGAATACTGGGATTACAGGCATGTACCACAAAACCCAGTTTCAGTCTTTTTTCAATGTATCAATACTTTCTTTTTAAAATATTTTATTTATTATTTTTATTTTATGTGTATGAGTGTTATGCCTGCATGTAAGTGCACCTGTATCATGCAATGCCCTCGCAGGACAGAAGAGGCTGTCAGATCCCCAGGAACTGGAGTTACAGACAATTCTTAGCTGCTATGTGGATCCTGGGATTCGAACCCTGGTCTTCTGCAAGAACAGTGTTCTTAACCCCTGAGCCATCTCTCTAGTCTCCAATGTATCAATACTTTCTAAAAAGAATGGTTTTGCTAGGTGTGGTGGTGCACACCTTTAATCCCAGCACTCAGGAGGCAGAGGCAGGCAGATCTCTGTGAGTTCAAGGCCAGCCTGGTCTACATAGTGAATTCCATATCAGCTGAGGCTACAGGGAGGCCCTGTCTCAAAAAGACCAAATATAAAAGGTTTTATAAAACAAGGTCTTATGTAGCCCAGGCTGGCCTGGACTGAGAAAACTTTCTGATTCTTTTACCTCTATCTCATAAGTATCTGAATTTAGGGCTGTGGAACCACATCTGACTAATGTATTAATACTTTTGTTTTTTTCTTTCCCCCTGTAGCTCCAGCTGTCCTGGAACTCACTTTAGACCAGGATGGCCTTGTACTCACAGGGATCCACCTGCCTCTGCCTCCCAAGTGCTGGGATTAAAGGTGTGCATCACGGCCGTATGAATATTTTTTTAAATATTTTTTTTCTTTAAATTATGTGTATGTGTGCATGTCTGTGTATGGTGAGTGCAGAGGCCAGGGATGTCGGGATCCCCTTGGAACTAGAGTTACAGGCAGTTGTGAGTGGCCTGACATGCATGCTGGGAATTGAACTCAGGTCCTCTGTAAGAGCAATATGTGCTCCTAACTGCGGAGCCATACCTGGCTCCAGCCCCCAGATATTTTTCTTTCAAATGTCTATTCAGATCCTTTATTCATTTCTTTTGTGTGTTCATGTGTATGTATGTGTTGGTATATGTGCAGGTTCATGTGAGAATGGGTGCACATGTTTGTGGGGGTCAGGTCTACTTTGGATTTGTCCCTCAGGAGTTGTCCACCTTATTTTTTGAGACAGGGTCTCTTACAGGGATCTGAGATACACTGAACAGATTAACTGGCCTGTGAGCCCCAGTGAGCCCTAGGGATTCTCCTACCTCAGCCTTCCCAGCACTGGGATTACAAACACGTGCCACTACACCTGGCATTTTATGTGAGTCCTGGGGGATTGGATTCATGTCTCATGCTTGTGTGACCAGTATTTTACCAATTGAGCTATCATTCCTGGTCCCTTTACACATTTCTTTCTTGTGTGTGTGTGTGGTATATGTGTGTGTGCATATGTGTTGGAGTCCAGAGATCAATGTTGGTGTATTGACTTCTCCACTTTATTATTATTATTATTTTTAATGTGGATGAGTATAGTGCCTGCATGTATGTAGGTACACCAGTATAGTGTCATGCAATGCCTGCAGAGGTCAGAAGCAGGTAGCGGATCCCCTGGAACTGGAGTTACAGATGGTTGTTAGCTGCCACGTGGGTGCTAGGAATCAAACCTGGGTCCTCTGCAAGAAGAGCCGGTGCTCTTAACTATTGAGTCATCTCTCCAGCCCTGTATTTCATTATTTTTTTTAAAGTATGTTATTTCTTGATGGATGTAAGTGTATCTGTGTGTGGGTTTACATATATGAGTGTAGATACTCATGGAGGCCAGAAGAGTGCATTGGATACCCTGGAGA